TACACACACACACACACACACACACACACACACACACACACACACATACACACTCACACTTAACACACCCATACACATACTTTTTCGCACTTATGGATAAATTCATGTTGTTCTTAACCCCAAACGCCCACCTTATTCACCCGGATGCTGTCTCTACAGTTTCCACGTCTGATGTAATATAACACTTCCCTTGTAATCAGTTATATATTTATACGTTTATTAAAATATTGATGAAAATTGAAATATCATTTCTTGCTGTTTCTTCCACAGAATGTGTCGAAACTACTGTCCCAACAAAAGTGTGTAAGGTAAGTCCCTTTTATTAACCCTCACCCCCTTTTATTTTGCTCCCTACCTCCCTCGCCGGCCCCCCTTTTCTGACTTTCTTTTTTCATTACCCTCTGCCTTTTTCAATCTATGTCCTGTATGTCTTCCTACCTATCTATCCCCTTTGTTTCTTTCTTTTTATTCTCTCTCTCTCTCTCTCTCTCTCTCTCTCTCTCTCTCTCTCTCTCTCTCTCTCTCTCTCTCTCTCTTTTTTCTTTCTTTCTTTCTTGTGGGGGTGGGGGGGTGGGGGTGGAGGGGGTCAGTGATGACATTGAAAAGAAATTCTTCAATACAGCATATTGACCATTCGGAACGCACGGAAGGACATCAGATAGAAAACACGTCAGCGACTGTACATATCCCAACCCTCCGCCCCCTTTCCACACATCACTGCTAATCAGAAACAATGAACTCCAAAAGAAACTAGCAAAATAAAACAAAAAGAAACAAGTGCACACATTCAAATTGTACATGAACATCATCAGTCAGAAACAAGGAAGACCGACAGAACTAGCAATATAAAACAAAAACAAACAGATAGGCTATACACACACTCAAATTGCGCATAACTATCATACATCAGAAACAAAGAAGACCGAAAGAAATAACAAAACAAAACAAAAAAATAAACAAGTGCACACAGGCAAATTGCACATGACCAATGAAAACTTAAAAAGAAGAATATAAAGCAAACTAAAAAGTCAGGAACAGAAAGAGCCCAGCAAAAATCCCTGGGATTCTTCAGTTAAAGTTTAATGATACGCTTTGGAAAGCAGAGAAATTTAATATCTGAGATGTGCAAGCTCATATGTTAATACGGTATATCTCTCTGTCTGCTTGCTGTTTTATCTTGTCTGTCACTCTCTTAAATAAATGGCGTAATTTTATTTTCTGTCTTTGATTTAATGTCTAGAGCTAATATCGTGGTATGTAAACTTCTGAAAATTGTTATTTTATTTCTCTTTGCGGTGTGTGTAGCGAGGAGAGGTG